CACTCTAAATAATGAGCCACAGCCACAGCCCCTATTTTTCTTTATAATTGTCTTCAATGGTGAAGGAAATCAGAAAATGGCTTTCTAAATAGCCAAGCATAGAGAGAGGATAGCAGTGGCTGCTCCTGAGTGCCCTCAGCCCTGGCGGAGACCACTGTTGGCCAGTGCACAGCTCTGTTTAAAATGCCACTTTTCAATCTCCTGCTGTAGATCACATACATCTTTTCTAGTAGCATTTTGAGGCCACTTAAGAGTCTCATAAACAAATGTAGGAAATGGCTTTCCGTATAGTAGGGTTTGGAATGGGCTGAGACACCTGGGAGCAGGGGGAAGACATGTTCCTGGTGCAGGGCTGGCTCTTCTGAGTGTCATTTATTGATTCTAGACAGACTCTGCTCATCCAAGCTCTCACACAGCAGGAGCTGTTGATCTTGATAAATGAGCAAAGCTCTATCCAAGCTGCAGTCAGAGCTGCAAAAATGCCCTTTTGTATTGATGTACACCTATTATAATTTCAGTACTTAGCAGGGTAGTTGCAAGTTTAAGGCCAGCTAAGGCCACATGGTGTAAGACCTTGTTTCAAAAATGGCAAACAAACCATAAACCAATCAACCAACCAACCAGCCAACCAACCCAACCAACCAACCAACCAACCAACCAACCAACCAACCAACCAACCAACCAACCAACCAAATCTGTATCAAGAAATAACAACTAGTGGGAATTCCTTTTGTCTCCTTTTCCTGCTTGTTCATTGCCCCTGTTTTTCTCCTCTGAGGATGGATCTTTTCATCCCTTCAAAGGGGACATTTCTAGATTTGGCCCCTTATTAAATCAGAATAAGGCCTTTGCCATACATCCTTGTGGCCCCCTGGGCTCTGACAGAAGCACTTAGGAGGCAGTGTCACTTCACCGTGCCAGTGGTACTGTAACCCAGGCTCTGGAGTCCACCTACACTTTTGACTCAGGATACAGCTGTGACAGATTCACATATCAGAGGCTTATGATTTACTGTTTCTTCTATAAATTTTTGAGTTGAGTGGGTAGAAGAGAGAAAATGAAAAAAGGTTTATGTTAATTAGCTTTCCATGTTCTTTTCACATCTTTTAGTAGTAGATACAGGTTTTCCTCTTCTGTAGGTTCTGCATGCTCTTTCACGGTCAGGTCAGCATTGTATTCATTTCTGAATTACTTGATGTAGTTCCTTTGACTATACTGGCTTCTTTTTGCAGAGGCATGCTTGCCAATAGATGGTTGCAGTAAACTAGCTAGAACCTGGTAAATATCATGAGTTCTGGAACTAATCCAAATCTGGTTTTGCACATATGGAAACAGTTTTCAAAACTTGCCTGTGTACTCAGGATAGAGTGAGTGAGGTTATTTGGAAAGGATAACACAAAGCATGTTGCTTTGGCGTGCCTGTCCCTTCTGGCATTGAGGGGTATCTGCTTAGTCATTCTTCAGTGTGCACATAGGCCATAAGTTTGTGTGAGCCCTTATCTTCAAGTAGAAGAAAATAATCAGAATGTTTTCTTCTTAGCACAGAGTAACCAAGAAAAAGGAGGCAAGTTGCTTCAGGAGCCATTTCTGGAGGATCCATTAGGAGCCAGACTTTTACTGAACAAGCCAGATAGTACCTGTCGAAAAACTCTCAAACCAAGAGATTTAGTCAGTCTATATTCTATATGCACAAGTGGCCTCAGTCTAGAGCTCTGTGTGGGATCAGGCTGCTCACGGTCCCTGTGACCTTACCCCTTGCCAGCGCACTAGAGCATCAATGGTGAGAGATGCTCAGATGATGTTGTTTTGGGTCCAAGTGAGTCAGAATTTTGGAGCACAAATTTGCTTTAGGTCAAATTTGCCTTCTTTATCTGATCTCTCAGAAATCCCAGAGAGTTTAAGGTATTTGACTGAGGCCATATAGCTTCTCAGAGAGTGGACATACCAATAGCTCCCTTCTAGGGGTTGTGGGAAAACAAACACCACTTCTGAGCCAGGATGACTGGTTGTGGCTGTCATTCTTTGCACTGTCATGGCAGGAAGTACATCATGGCTGTGTCCTTGAGTAAGGCAGGGTAAGAAAAGGTGCTCTAGAGAAGACCTGCTAGAGAAATGTGGAGAGATTGCCTGTGTGAGCTGCTGGGAGACCAGAGGGCAAGGATGGGAGCGGGGATAATCATTATCAGGATGAGTTGTGTTCTACCCAAATTCCTAAGTTGATGCTTCAGAGCCCTTCATACCTCAGAATCTGTTCTTTCAGAAACAGGGGCTTGAAGGAGGTGATTATGTGAAAATAACAAGTAATTTGTTAGCCTGTTTGCAACAGTGGATTTGCACATCTAGTAGTTCTCTGTGCACACCACCTGGATGTTCTATGATTTCATTTGGTCGATAGGGATTCCCCCAGAGGCAGCACAAACTCGTGGGACAAAGAGGCTCAGTCTGACTAACCTCCTTCAGATGCCAGTTATAAGCTCTAGGGTGTGAGCTGTGCTTATGGCTTATGGTATACTTTAGAGTTCCTACTGACTGTGTGTTAGGTCAGCTTACTGAGCTCAGAGACACATTTGCTTGAATTTGCAGGCCTGTTATAGCCCGCATGTGACTTCATATCCTAGACAGAGATATTTGTAAATCCATGTTTATTACTGCTAATATTTATAATAGCTAAGAAATGAAATGAGTCAAGATGTCCATCAACTGATGAATGGATAATAAAAATGTGGTACATTGGCACAATAGAATTTTATTCAGCTGTGAAGACAGATGAAATTATGGAATTTCCAAGTAAATGAATGGACCTGGAACAATCATATGGAATGAGGTAACATTGCACATTCTTTCTAGTATGTGAAACTGGCTTCAAATTTTTAGTTTTTTGTTTTTTTTTTTAAACTGGAGCATCTGTAGGGACCTGGAAGAGACAAAGAGGCCTTTGCAGTAGGAAGGATTGATAGCTCTAAGAGTTCTTCTTGGGTGGAGTCTATAGGATTTCTTACACATAGTGTCATGTCATCGGTACAAAGGGTATTTGACTTCTTTCCCTGTTCCTATTTGTATTCCTTCTCTCATTACTCTTAAGACTTCAAAGCACTGTATTAATGGGAGTGTGAGAGTACAGACCCTTGTCTTTATGATTTCAGTGGGAATGTTTTGATATTTGCTCTTTGTTTAAGGGTGATGTTGGCTATAGGTTTGTCACACATAGCCTTTTTTTAAAAAAAGATTTTTATTATTTATATAGTACTCTGCCTGCGTGTGTGTCTACACACCAGAAGAGGTCACCAGATCTCCTTATAGATGGTTGTGAGCCACCATGTGGGTGCTGGAATTGAACTTGGGACCTTTGGAAGATCAGCCTGTGCTCTTAACCTCTGAGCCATCTCTCCAGTCCCATACATAGCCTTTTTTTATGTTGAGGTATGTTCCCATCAATCCTAGCTTCTCCATGACTTTTTGTCATTAAAGGATATTGGGTTTTGTCACATGCCTTCTCCATCTCTATTGAGATAGTCATGATTTCTGTTGTTTGGTCCATTCATGTGATGAATCATGTTGATTCATGTGTCTTCAGTTCCCCTACATCTCTAGAATTAGACCAACTTAACCATAATGATCTTGAGATGATTTTGAATTGGGTTTTTATTTTTATTAAGGAATTGTATTCATTTTCAAGAGATCAGTCTGTAATTTTGTTTTGAATGTTTTTTTTTTTTTCCCATAATTTATCTGGGTTTTGTATATGGGCAATACTTGCTTCATAAAAGCAATATGGTGACATTCCTTTCTTTTTCTTTTTAGAATAACTTGAGTAGTTAGTGTCGGTGTTAGTTATTTGTTGACAGTGTGGTAGACTCCTGCAGTCTTTCTGGTCTGGGCTTTTAATTTTTTTTTTTTTTTTTTTTTTTTTTTTTTTTTTTTTTTTTTTTTTTTGTTTTTTTTTTTTTTTTTTTTTTTTTTTTTTTTTTTTTTTTTTTTTTTTACTAGTGGGTCATTCTCACTACTAGGTGTAGAATTATTTGTTGGAATTATTTATTTCAACTTGACTTAACTTTGGTGTCGTGTGTCTAGAAATGCATTCTTTTTTTTTTTTTTTAGGATTTTTCAATTTGGTGGAATATGTTCTTATGGTATGTCCTGTGACTTTCTGAATTTAATATCTCTATTGGTCTGTAATTTTATTGAATCTTCTAATCTGGTTAGCTGGCGTTAGCGTGCGTTTTGTTCTTTTCAAAGAGCCAACCCATTGTTGTATTAATTATTTTTATTGTTGTATCTATATTATTTCTGCTCTGATTTTATTTTTTCTCATCTACTACTTCAGAGTCTGACTTTTTTCTCACTTTTCTAAGGCCCTTAGTGTATCACCAAGCTATTTCTGATTGGAGCTGTAAAAACAGCTCTTAAGACTCTCTTCATTGTATCCCATAGGATTTGGGATGTTGCATTTTTAACTGTGTGGCACACAAATACCTTTCTAGTCCTTCCTTTCTGGTTCTATATACGATCCCATTATCCTGGGTGGAAATAGCAGCACCTGCATGAATAGGGTTGGAAGCTTAACCCACATGCTTAGGAAGAGGAATTTTAGGGATTAGGCCTAAAAAAGAGATGCAAGAAATGCAAACCTGTCACCACAGTACATAGGATCCAGGAAAAGATGGTGAGTTACTATTGGCCAGCCTGTGCCTCACAGTATCAACCTGCTTCAGAAAGAGGGCAAACAGATCCGTCTGTGTTAACATAGGTAACATGAGAGGGTAATATGGTGAGCAAAGGAAGCCACAAGGGGAAGAAAATATTGTGTAGAAGAACCTAAAACAAGATGCTAAAATGACAGGAAGATGTTGGTCTAAGGGTGGAAATGAGCCATGTTGTAGCAGGAAGAAGTCAGAGATCTACTGTACACAATGACTGTGCTGGATTATTGTGAATTACACAGCTTCCTATCACTTGGGGAAGTAGCATGATGAGATGAGGGATCAAGAAATGGTGGCATCTGGTGGCTAAAGTATACAATAAATTTATTTTGTAAAGAAAATAATCTTTGCATTACAGATAGAGATGTTTAGTCCAGGTTCCTGTGTGCGACATTCTTGGTAACACTTCTGCAGGCACAGCATGGTGCCTAGCTCTCTGTGCACATCCCGGATGGCTGATCTTCACAAAATGTTGAAGATCAGTACTCACTCAGCTTTCAAACTCGTGATCTTTGAAAATGGTTGATTTCTGCAGATTTTGGTTGATGTCACTTCTATAGATCAAAGTGACTGTTAATGTTCTGTATGTCTTGCACTTGCAGATGGAAAGCTTTCTTAAGTCTTCCTAACGGGGAAGGGGTGTCCCTGCCTAGGTGAACAAAGGGACAGTAACACCCTCTGACTGTCCTTGCCCCCTGCGCACAGTAGTGGAGGTGGTGGATGGAGGGGACTTGAGAAGAACTTACCTTCATTTGGCTCCTGAAGGACAGAGAGGCATCACCCTCAGGGAAGAAAATGGCCAAACTGCCTCAGACACTGTCCCACAACAAGGAGTCAGTACAAGGTCCTGGCTACTCCTGGAATCAGCAGACATTTTCACTTGTTCCTCTCAGTCTATCCACTTGTGAGTCTGGCTCTGGCCCTACTTCTTGGTCAGTGAGCAGAAACCTCTTCTATCAAGTAGACCTGAATCAAGAAGGTTTGGGTAAGAATTAACAGAGAGTCCAGTTGTGCATCACCCTGTAACTGACCATCCATTTCCCAGTGGCCTGGGCCAGGAAGCATTACCTGTGTGCCTCTCTTCTACCTAGGTGTCTGTGCTCAAAAAGGTGGCTCTTTCCCAGGCCTTTGCAGGTGAGGCTGGCCTCAGGCCTTGGTCCATGTTCAGTGATGTTCCTGGTGGTTTTCTGTAGTTTCCACAGCATAGGTTCACGGACTGGCACCAGAAGCACCTGGCCTTTCCCAGCCTGCAATGGAGACAATATGGCAGCGGCAGCAGAGGAAGCAAGGACAGTTGCATGCCAGGTGCCAGCTTTGTGGTAAAAATGATCAATATGTACCAAATAGTTCACACTAGAGAGTGGGGTCAGGACAGGGAGGAATCCAGTTCCTCTGTAACCATATTTGAGAGTTTCTGGATCTCTCCGCTCGGTGGGAACGTGGCAAATCACTGTGGGCCGCCCACAGGAAACCCACTGTCAGATCAGAGGGTCCCATCTCTTTTCCCATCCACATTCCCCTGCCTCCTGCAATATTGTTACCAGCTCCTTCTCTAGACTCACATGGCAAGCACTTCAGACCTCACCTTGGATCTTCTCAAAAGACAGTCTAGTCTCACCTTGAACAGGACTGGAAGCCCTGAGGCAACGTGGGGCAACAAGTTTTCCCACTGGCTGCCCATGGCTCCTAGGAAGCAGTAAAGATGGTAGTTAATGTTTCAGACGAGGGTAGTGACAAGAGAAAACTGATTTGGAGGGGCATCTAAGCATTTCCAGAAGAGGAAGTCACAGGAAATAGGAAATTGCCTTGCTAGGAATGGAGATCCTCTCCTTTCAAGCAAACTTCACTAGCATCAACTGCACAAGGTGCATCAGGAGGAGTGTATGTCTCTGTTCGTGTGTTCCCAGCCAGATGTAAAGAGTACTGATGAAATGACTCACGTTTGAAAGTGACATGCACATTCACTAGAGCTGGGGTGATTTGTGAAGGCTCCAGGATCTCTCTTGGCTTGATGGGCTAGTTGCTGGGATGCTGTGGAGGCCCGCACCAGAGCTGTAGGGCTGAGCTGTCCCTTTCTACTCTGTATTCACTTCTGGACTCCATATGGACCCTCACTGCTTCTCAGTCTCCTGATGATGAATATGTGCAGCAGTCCAAGTCCTCTAGGTTCCTTCCTCTGCTTTCAGTGCCTTATCTCCTCAGCTCACAGGTCCTCCTGGAGACAGGTAGCGGGGCTGACATTCTCAATGTGCGTGGAAGGTTCTCTGAAGTCTGGTGTTCCTTCTCAGTTTCCATGGTTATTACCAAAACTCCATGTTTTTTCCTTCCCAGGGCTTCTGAATCCTGTTAGAGCAATGTACTGAACCAGGGCTATTCTGGGACTGCTGCCCAGCATGGAGCTCCCTACAGGGGATAGGCAGAAGTGCCATTAGCTCAGACATTCTTCCCAGAATCTTCCCTCACTCCTCAGAAAAAGAGGACATTTTGCCCTTAATTTTAGCCTGTGATATAGACATATCTTGGCACTGGCACAGTCATCTGAAATGCCAATCTGGACCTCTCCTGTCTGTATCCTCAGCCAACTGCCATCTACCCTCTGGTATTAGCCTCTAGGGAGCACAGTGCCTCCACCAGCACTTGAAATAGATACAAGAATGGGGCCTCTTAGTAGAACTATGCAAGACTTATGGTTGGCCGGGCTGGCACTGGGCTGGCATGGGCTCTTAGGCTACTTCCTCTGAGTGCTCCATTGTTCCTTTCACCGACCCTTCTCCAGCATCCTTGTCCAGGCTCGGGTCTACCTCTAGCTCAAATTTTGGAGGATTCCTAGAAGGGAGGGCAGGATGGGATTCTCTCTTGTAGGTGATAGATACAGGGTCAACCCTGCCCCCTCAATGCATGCTGTGAATATGTTAAGAGGAAGGGGATTAGATTAGCCTGTGTCACTGCAACCGTCCTCATTGGCTGCCATGATTCTGGTCTTCCTAAATCTTTGTCTCTTTGCCACCGGAATGCAGCAGCACAAGTTGCATAAAGCTTGGCAAATCCTCTTCTTCAGGACCTTCCAGCCCCGCTGTGGCACTCTGGGCACACCCTGGCACTGCCCTCGGAGGTGCTTCTGAAGGCTTTTTATTCTCGAGGATGGGCTCCTGTCTCGTAAGGACCCAGTGCCTGTGCCCTCTTCCTGGGTCTCCTCACTGGGAAAGGGGTTCTTGCATATGGTCTCCTGGGAGGATGTGCTTGTTCCTGTGTCAAGAGACTCCGAGCTCTCTTCATTTTCTTCAAAATTTGCTGAGCATGTGTTCACTGAGTATATTGTTGGTGACAATAATGATAATGATGATGGTGGTATTGTTGTTGATGATGAAGGAAACCAGCACTCCATATTGCTCTGAATCTCTCTAAGTCTCTCAAGCTTTGGGGAGATGGTTTTTGTGAGCCTGCACGTCGGGGTGGGAGGCAAACTGTGCCACCTACTGCAGACTTTACTCTCATCCTTAGGTAGCTGAAGGAGAGTGGGCAAACTGAAGGTGGAAAGGGTAGGGACATAGGCTCCCCTCCTTACAGGCAGAGGGAGGTCAGCAGCTTTGGCAGGGTCCATTGTGCCACCCAGCCCTCCAGTGTGGTGAAACTGGCGCTGCTGGGTAGACTTCTTTTTTACAAGCAAGTAGGTTGCCATGACATTGTTATACTTTTGTTCTCTCAGAGCTTCTTTGACTTCTTGAATTTTGTATCCCATGAAGAACATTTCCCAAACAATGTTGGACTCTGGCTCGGTGGGTGTTTCTTCTGAAAGACTCAGTATATCTTCATCATGGCACAGCCACGTGTGTGCCATGACTTCCCTGATAGGGGGGCCTCTTTGTGGGGTCTACCGTCATTAAGCAGTTCAGTAGGTCTTGAAGCTCTGGGGAGAGGTGAGGCGGGATACAGCAGTTTCGGGAAATGATCTCCTGCTGTATGTTGGAGTACTCTGTCTCCCTGAAAGGGAGGTATCCAGTTACCAGGAAATAGAGTACCACTCCCAGGCTCCATATGTCTGGGGGTAGCCCTTCGTAGTCTGTTTGACCGAACACCTCGGGAGCACAATAATCTCGTGTGCCCCAGAAGCCCCTGACCTTTTCCCCAGGAACCAGTCTTCTTCCCAACCTGAAATCACTGAGTTTCACATGCCCCTTCCAATCCACAAGGATGTTGTCAGGTTTGATGTCTCGGTGGGCAATATTTCGGCTGTGGATATATTTGATCGCTGAAGTCAGTTCTCTAAATAGAGTGCGTGCCTCCTCTTCCTTCAGATGCCCACACTTGGTGACTGTTTTCTTCAGGGGTCCCTGGGATGCATATTCCATTACCAGGTAGGTTACATGCCTGGTCTTGATAACCTGAAGCAGTTGTATTACATGAGGGTAGTGCAGAGATTTCAGGAGATTAATCTCAGAGCTGATCATGTAGTCCATACCCAGATCTCTTTCCAATATTTTGATGGCCACCATGGTGTTGGTCACACGGTGAAGAGCAACTTTGACTTGGCCAAAGGACCCTTCACCTGTAGTGCCCAATACTAAATAATCCTTTGCCAGGGTGTGCTTTTCCAAGGAACTGGAGAAGGGCTTCTTCTTCATCATCACGCTTCGCTGCTCTCAGTAGAAGTCAACAGTAATAACAGCAAGAAAAGATGGCAGGAAAAAAATTAGAATCACTTCTAGAAATGTTTGGAGCTATAAATTCTAAGTTTAAAAGTCAGAGGTACCTCCAAGGAAAAGTCAGGATAGACTTCAAAGGCACAAGAACACAAACACCAATCAAATACAAACACAGTGGATGGACAGAAGGAAGAAGGATCAGAGAAGAAAGGAAATGGAAAGAAAAATAATCTCCATTTCAAAGGACAAAAAAGTGCCACTTGGCTAAGAAGTCCATCATGAAGGGAAGACACTGAGTTAAAGGTCACAGTTGAGCGGCCATATAGGGTGACCCAGGAAAGCATGGGATGCAACAATGCCTATTTGGTAAAGAGAGAGTGTATGCACAGGATCAGGGGTAAAATTCACAGCACCTATGAAAAAGAATCAAATTTGTCATTTTCTGGAAATGGATTACTTTGAGGTCACTGTGTTACATGAATAACCTAGCCCAATAGAGACAAATACAAGTTATTACTCATATGCATGCTTGTGTGGTTTGGGGCTAGGCTGATAGGAAAGGGAGAGTATGACAGTATGACTGGAAGATAACAGGCAGGATAGGATAGAGAGTACCAGAATGGATCAGGCTTATATAATCAAACTGCATTTGTGCGAATGTCAGTGAAATGCCTTTGTACAATTAAGGTCAAATTTAAAAGAAGAAATAAGTTACAGTTTGAAAGTGAGAAAGTCAAATGAGAAGTCAGGAAAGGAAAAATGGATGTTGGCTAGGCAGTGGTGGCACATGCCTTTAATCTCAGCAGTCTGGAGGTAGACTCCAGCGAAACTCCCAAGTTTGAGGCCGGCCTAGTCTACAGAGCAAGTTGCAGGATAGCCAGGGTTACACAAAGAAACTCAGTCTTGAAAAAGTAAGAAAATCAAAAGAAGAAAGAATGGATATTAACTCATGAAGAAAAATGAAATAAACAAGAAGGCAAAGCTGAAGACAAAGCCCACAAATGAATAAAGTCACAGAAAAAGAAACCCCACCCTCTGAGCTGGGGCAAAGAAACAGCTGGAGACAAGGGAGGGAACACAACCTGGAGATAAATTGAATAAATTCTAATAAATAATAATAGTAATAATAATGGAATAAAAAGAAACAGCTGGAAAGAACTTACTATGTTGAAGTGTAGCGGATGGTCAATATCAAAGTCCAACAATCACCAAAGTCCAAATCCAATCCAACTATCAACTGCGAAGCCCAACTAACCACCAGCCAAGTCCAACCAACCACCAACCAAGTCCTGCCAACCACCAAAGACCTCTCTGCACACAAGGGCACAAACCAGCCCCAGGCAGTGCATTATATGGACAGCTGTCGTTCCTCACAGTGGCTCTTTGTGACATCAGAGCATTAGTGGACAACCCACAGTAGCTTTTCTCACTCTTTGGTCCCATGGGCCTCTCTCTGTCTATTACTTTTCATTTCACTGAGACCGATGCCCTGACAAGAAGTAATTTAAGGGAGGAAGAGCTTTTTTAGGCTCATGCTATGAGGGGCTTGCTGGGAGTGTTGGGGTTTCTCTTCTTGGGTATTTACTCTCATGAAAAAAGAACTTAGAGACACTTGAAAGAAATACCAACATTATTTTATTCATGTGTGAGGGACGGCCAGAAAAGCAGCTGCCAACAAGAGGTATTGAAGAGGATGGGAGAATGCCATGCCTTTTGCAGTGGAGCCCAGCAAACAAGCCATGTAGGAGAACAGGAGTAGAGGCTTCAGAGCATGAGAAATTCCAGGGTGTGCAAGAATTCAGAAAGACATCTCAGAGCTGTGGCTGGTACTGCAGAGATAGAAGAAGTAGGGAAGATTTATTTTCTTTGAGACAGGACTAAAAAGCTGAGCAGGTTCTGTGGTGCTCCGTGGGGAAAGCCTCAAAATGTCAGTCTTTTGGAGGGTCTTTTAGAAGCAGGAGTGTCTTTAGAAACAGTCTTGTTTCCTCCCATCTTCACTGCATGGTTTCGCTTGAGCCAGACATCTTGAGTGGTGATCTTCTGGCCAAGACTAGATTTTCTATAGGCAGAGCCTCATTCACTTTTACTAAAAGGATGAAAGTACACTGTGCAAACTTTTGGAGTCCTTACAAATAACAGGGCTAAGCAGGGCCAGAGAGAGAACTTTTGCTAGACTAGGAGGAAGTAGCTTTCTCCTAATGGGCCTCAACCAAGCTCATATACCTGTACTTTCTCATACGGTAAAATGGAGGTTTATCCTTTTCTTGTTTCTAGGAGAATAGGAGGAAGCATTCCCAGTAGACAATGTAGGGAGGCATCTGACCTTACTGGCCTCTAAGGCTTTTCATCTGTATGACAATGATGGCAACTGATGGTGTCATAGTAGTGAAAGCAAATGGTGACCATATAGAAGATTCATGGGGTGGCTGTGTTCTAGGTCCTGGCAGTCTCCCCCTTTCCCGAAGTGATCCTGTTCTTACACCTGTATTACATCTCCCAAGTTCTCTGTAGCATTCCAAACATCGCCTACTGCAGAGTGTTCAAACACATGAGCTTATAGTGTCACTCCACACCATCCAAGTTTTAACACTGACTCTCCCACTATACATTAACAGTCAACAATAACAAGGATAATGATTGTGCTTTACTGGGTATGATACTGATATTTATTAGTTACTCAATGTGCAGGTTGCTGTATGGGCTTTTCAAACTCTCCCTAATATTATGTCATTCCTTTTCGGATTTTTAAACTTCTTCATATGTAAACTCAGATAATTGTGTTCTTTTATAAAAGTATGAAAAATCTCAAATTGATTAATAATACAGGGCTGAGAGGAAGAGATCTTCACAGAAACTTCCCATCACGAACTAAGGACTTCAGCAAACTGCTATATTAAAAGTGAGAAAGAAGCAAAACTGCCAACCCAGAATCCTACAGGCAGTAGAATGTCCTTGCCATAGATGTGGGAGATGTATCATTTGCAAATATCCCAGCATTTCGTATTCTAGAGCGTATTGCCTTAGACCATGAATTCTATAAACAGCAGAGGCTACTTTTTTGTCCTCACATATCATTTTGCTGTCAGTTGTCACACAGGAAAGATTGAACTCATGTGAGAGCCTCTTCTAGGGTAATGCATTCCATCATGATGGTGACATCCAATAACCTATGAACCTCACCACTTTAATGAAGTCTCAACAGGGATTTTGAGGAACACATATTAACACAGTATACCTCATTCACTGTAGCTGGTTACCATTGGGGTGCACCTCCTGAGGAGAGTCCCATCAGGTTATCTGAAGGGCACTGAGCTCAAGGATGAGATAGAAAGGTCATTGATAAGTTGAGTACAGGTCAGTTACAAAAGCTGTCCTGCTGAAATCAAGGAGCCAAAATACTAGGGTAGAATATGTACTAGATGAGGATAGATGTGGAAAGACTTAACAATAGGCACTGTGGGTAGAAACATGGTGGGTGATTCATCAGAGAGTGTTTTGGTTTGAGACAAGAATTAAAGGATTCATACGCATTCCCAGTGAGAGGTTACTGTAGCTTTTCTCTTAGAGGTTAAGAATAGGGTGTGTCTAGTTCTGGCCAGGGCACCCAAGGAAGCCACCATGTGCATGCATCCCTGTGAGCTCATGCAGCTCTCTTCTCTCAGCTGACGCTTTTAGCACTTACACATGTTTCATGGGACAGAAATTTCATGGTCTGGTTGTTTAGGGGAAATGGAGAGATTTACAGTGTCAACTGTTGTTGCAGTTCCTCTGGGATTGGCCTGAGCAGCTTTTCTTAGGTGACTGTCAGCCAAGGCCATCCTGTCGGCCTGGCAAAATGACAGTCTCACTGATTAGAGAACCTGGAGAGCTCCTTCTCAGTATCAGTATCTGAATATCAGTGTCATACCCAGTGAAGCACAATCATTATCCTTGTTATTGTTGACTGTTAATGTATGGTGGGAGAGTCAGTGTTAAAACTTGGATGGTGTGGAGTGACACTATAAGCTCATGTGTTTGAACACTCTGCAGTAGGCGACGTTTAGATGTTCTTGCACGGTAAAGTTTAGTTTTCACTGTTGAATTATCTTTTAGTTAAGCAGCGATCATTCCCGAAACCAGCTGTACACCCAAATCACCACACAGACACTAGGGTTTATTTGATTAACCTAGAGCACAATGCTGGGCTGTAGTTATTCCATCCTAAACCTCCAAACCTGCGTAGTTTCCTCCCATTCAGATTTCACATATTATACTTGCTTTTAGTCATATCTTAGGTCCGGTTCATCCCCCCTGTGGTTCCAAGTCCTCTCCTGCCTGCTGATCTCTACCCTCTGCCTCCTCCCACTCGCTTTGGTCCAGACCAGGATGACCCACCCTATTCTCTCCATTGCTCAGCATTGTGGCTAGTTGTTTTATTGACAATACAGAGAACAAATGGTGGCATATTACAAAGACTTGAGACAGGTGATGCATCACAGTGCAATGTCCGGATTTGAAACTGAATTGTAACCAGATGGTGGGGTAGAGAAATCAGCATTTAAGTGAACAAGGGTAAATTGTATACATTCCACAAGAGCATTATACCAACACAGATTCTACTTTGTGTGAGTTCCTTTGATTCTTGCCAACATTAGCTTGCTATGGTCAACTCCCTTAATAGCTGTCTATTAACATGTGCCTAGCATCGTCCTGACCATCAGTTAGGTCCTTTGGCATGTACAAACAGACCACTAGCTTCCATCAATCAAAGGCTAAAGGTTCTGTCAGACAGCCTCTGAGGCCTCTAGCTGGAACTTATCTGTCTTCCTGTTACTCAGCCTGCCTGATGTTTTCACTAATGTATTTGGAAAGTGTCTTGATTCATGTTTTCTTTGTTCTCTTACTGTACAACTTCATGAAACTTTTACTACATTGAAAGGTGGAATTTAGGGTAACCTGAATATTTGGCTGTGGTCTAAAGTATCTCTTACCTCCTTTGAGGTGAGATTTCTGTCTCTTATTTTTATGTTAGCCCCTGACTCAGGCTCCTGTCAGTTAGTGTTTGTTCCCCATAGAGTGAGGCATTTTATTTTGTCTTTACACTTCTATAAAAGTGAGCATTGTTTTTGTTTTCTATGTGATCTAAGACTCTACTGCATCTAAAATTATTAGTCCTTGCTACTGGACACAGCACATGCACATGTGACTCTAGCATCAGCAGCTGAGGGAATGGGTGTGGAACAAGCATTTCAGTGTTTTAGGCAGAAGTTAAGGAGTTAGGGCTAGTGTACCCTTCACAGCCACATTTAAGCAGCTCAGATTTCTAGAGTGTCTCTGGGGTCAAGCATGTTGTTTGTCTTCTGTATGATGAAGTCCCAGAAGTGCTTGTTGGGTTCCCTTTGTGCTCCTGCAGAATGTTTGCCAACACTATAAGGCTCAACAAAAATGGAACCATTGAGAACAAATACTTTTGGAGAATGTCAAAAGGCAGTGCTTATAAAGCTTTACAAATACCAAGAATTGTCACACTGATATGAAAATTGTTTACTAATTTGCCAATTATGAGGAGACATTGTTTAGGATGTCATGGTTTATAGCCTATTTAATTATTTCCGTTAAAGAGAATAGTCATAAAACAGGATTATACAAACATAAACTCTGAAATCATTAGCAGTTGTGTTTTAGAGAATGCCAGTTTTGGGTGTGTTTTTGTAAACATTGAATCTTAAAATGTTAATCGTTCATATAAAAGAACCAGCCACAGTCAGCATCATTACACAGAAGAGGTACACAGAAGTATGTTAGGTATCTAGAAAGCTTCTATCACTGAAGAGAAATTTACGATCTTTAGGATAATATGATTACAGCAGTGGGAAATATAAAAATTTAGACCTCTTACATTAATAAAGAAGAGTACTTGTAAGCACCAACGCTTACTTACAGGGCCAGGGTTACCTGATATGGCTGATGTGAAATGAATCTTAACCTGGCCAGGATGAGGGATCTCAGCAAGACTAAGGCTATGACAAGTTTATTCCAAGTAATCAGACTTTTTATATCCTTGTCAGAAACAGAATATAATCGAGGTTGACAAGATACAATGATGCTTGCAAGCTACAGGATACATAACATTAATGTCTAAGACCAGTTGTCCTGTCAAGCTTCTAGATGCTTTGTTGACTTAGAACACAGGCAGTT